ATATATTGGAAATATTCACTATACATTGTATTCGTATTATTGATTTCTAAATATGACATTATTGAAACAATATAATATAATATATATTTACAACGAAAAAGAAAATGAGGAGGTAGATAGAGCAGCAAAAAATGCATTAAATAGTTCTGCCACTAAAATAATTCTTTTTTATCACTAGTTAACATAAAAATAAATATAACCAAAATAAATATTRCATTGATTAGTGTAACACAAAATGGCACACAAATACAGACAATAAGCTAAGAGAAATTAATAACTCTGTTGAACTCTTGCCGAAAGACACTGATCTAAACAAAAAAAATGAGATCATTCTTAATTTACTTAGAATAAGCTACACAAAACTCATACACTGACACCTTATGAAAAGATAGATTCACCCTTATATCCAACATGGAATGAAAATAACTCCATCAAATATATCATCATCTACTGCCAAAACTTCAATGAAGCTAGGAAAGATCAACATCCCCAAAACCTGTACGAAGCAATTAGTCCATTTTCAAACTACCAAAAAATAATTATATAAAAAAATCGAATTATTGTACAAGAACATGTCAAATTTTAAAAATGTAATGCTTTTTTTAAGGCTAATAACTTATATAGTTGTTGCTTAACCAATAAAAAACAAAAGAATATAAAATGCATAATGAGTTTTCATCAAAGACCTAAAAAATTTCAGCTAAATATTAAACATTTTCTTGTTATTCAAAAAACATCAATATTTTAGTTCTTTTTTACTTGTTCAGTCGATGAACAGATAAATTGTGAAATATTACTACCATATTTCTTACGTAATTTTTATTTTATTAATGTTTAAAAATAAAATAAAATATTGTCTAGTTATATTTATTGATTTGTGATTCTAAGAGATGCACTAACTAGCTCACTAGTCATTCCTTTGTGACTTAATTCAAGTATATGCAGACTCGTTGGTTTCATAAGTAGGTAGCATAAAACTATAAGCTACAATAAGTATAATATATTTTTACTTCAACGTTGAATCGACCATGGATGTCAAGCTTACCCGAATTGTATTCTACTACATTACTTACTATGAGGTATCGTCAAAACCTGCTTTACACATTACACAATAATAATTTCCATGGTTTTTAAGTTTATTCTATTTTAATAAATATTTAATACTGTGCTTCCAAAGTTTAATATACAGTTTAGTTTTTCTAAATAAAAAATTTACATTYTTATAACAATTAATATACACTATACATATGATTTTATTTGTAAGTAATAATATTATACTGAGTTTTTTTAAGATTTAAAGAGTTAAGGCGCTAGTATATTTATCAATTTCCAAAGACTTCATAATTTACAATGTGACAGGGTTGAAGAATGATTACATACATAAAAAAAATATGTATTCACTTACAACTATACATTAAATTACATAGTTACAAGAAATTAGATATTTATAAAGTRAAATCATTTTGACAAAAACCTGWTCAGAAAAATATTTAACATTTTTTTATTCATCCAATGGATAATTAGATTTTAAAACAAATTACTTGCATTATGAATAAGTTGTTTAAATCTTGTTACATGCCTACGTATTTGATTTTAAATTGCATTATTCTGCAATAATTCTGTTTACTGCATGAAACGTTCTTTTATTAAATTTTAAACATAGATTTTATAATAAATATAAAAAACATATCAAAGACTGTCCATAAACTATAATCAGGTAATAATACATTTAAATAATGTAGATTTAAATTTTTAAATTTATATAAAACTGTAATATACTTTATTATTTTTTATCTTTACACACCTTATTTTTTTTTAAATTAATTATGTATCATCTATTCCTAATGAGTAGAATGTACTTGAAATTAAAATCATATTTTAAATAATAATATCATTCAATAACATTATGTTCATATCATATTTTTTTATACGAATATATTAAGCCAAAATAATTCCTAATTAATTAATATTATCGTGAGTACTGAAATTTTCTAACGAAAACATATTGTATTATTTGTTATGGACGGTCGTGGTAGATAGTATACATATATAGGATGTATAAAAAAATAAACATGGAACAAAATTATTATGGACTTAATATCAGATTTGTGATATCTATAAATAAYGCTACGAATATGCTAGTTATATTTTTTGTTATTTAATTGTTTGGTACTAAAATAAGATAGTTTAATCGTACTTAACAATTTAGCATTAAAGTCTATGATTAGATTAGAATCACAGATATATATATATATATTGTACGAAAACACATAAAGATTGTAGTTTAAGATATTTTTATTGTTTTGGTTTTTATATTGCAAACGTGAAACAATCGATACCTAACCTATAGGTATATCATAGATATTCTATGTCGATTTCGTAATATTTTACAAGYATAAACGGCGATACCCAAATCAAAATATATTAATATGACTTTGAATGTGTGTTTTCGACGTGCAAATATTATAGTATCTGACTGGTGGTGACGCGATATCAAACTTTGGTAACATGATGGCAATACAAAATAGTGTGGTTAAGTAATGACCGTTTAACAAACGGCTGATGTTGTTGGATTCGATTTTTCATTCTCGTTTCCAAGACGACGGAGGAACAAAATCGTGTTTTATTTGTTAGTGTCCGGTGGAGAGAATGACATGACGTGAAAAAGAAACCTATCAAAATAGTATTTATAATTAATATTTTGATTTTATATAGATCAAAATAATATGAGTTATTTGTTAAAAAAAAAAAAACAAAAAAAACCAAACGAAATGTCAAGCAAATCGGTTGTGTAAAATAACGTAAATATCTTGACATCACAAACGACTTTAAATCAATCATACTATAAAATATAATATATATATATTATCAACTATAGTTATTAATTCCACTCAATAAATATAGGTACCATTTCTAACATGATTTAGTAATACTTTAGTTTAAAAACTCTTCATTAGAGAAAAAAAATTGTTTCTTTAATTTTCATACAAATATGATATTATTGTAATTTTAAGGTATTACAACGCATTTAACCTAATGAGATAAAAATAACGTTATGCCATAATATAATTAACCTGTCGAAATAATGATTAAGTATTGTTTAAGGAAAAAAAAAGTTGTTTTAAAATTTAAAAAAAAAATCATAATATTGTACATATTATCATAAAAGTTTAAACTTTTCTGCTGTTTTGAATTCGAAAATTATGATACGTATTTTGAACAACTTTTAATAATTTGTGTACATAGGTATAATATAACTATAGTATACTTATCGTATATTATTCTTCCATATTACAGTCATAATTGCTATCAAAGAAGTATAAGTTAATTATATTTTGGATTTTAGATTTTGAATAATTGCATAGCTATAGAAAAAAAAATTGGTATATTATTGTGTTTACTAAGTTGTTATATTATATAAGTAATTGAAGTGAATATTCATTTCATTCATAGTAAAATTTATCATCGTATCACAAGTAAAAATTATTAGTCGATTGTTACCCATCATTAATCGATATAGAGTATTCACTCAATGTCTTAATCGGACTCATTAATTCCATACCTACATCGGTGTTGTAATTACCTATATTTAAGTTAATTGTAATGTAAATATAATGTGTTAAGTTAAGTAATAAGATKAAGGTAAATCTACTAAGACAAGTGTAGGTAAATAATATTTTCACTGTAGTTAATTTACAAAAAAACAATTAACACATAAATTAAATTTACTAACTATAAAATATATCGGGGTGGGGGATTAAAATCCCTAACCCCCCCCCCACCCATATACGGCCTTGCTTCAGACATTTATAAATAGCATTTGTGTGTTCAAGCTAAACTTTCAATAAAAGTATTCATAAATGTAATGCAAAGTCCCTCAAATTTGATCAAAATGAAAATGAAAAACATGCTTAAAAATGTTTTTTTTTAAACGTAAATTGTATTTTGAGGTGGATAAAATTTTTTTTTATTCTGGCCGTATTTTTTAACTATTTTTTTATTCCCATAGATACGTAAATCAACAATAAAAATAAAAATAATAAATAAATAAAATTCCTAGGTATAAAATGTAACTAGATGTTTTTCTACTACTCTAAAACATAACTACTTTTCYTAAATTTCCCTTGTAGAGAAAAAAAATATCTAATAGTAATTTTACACTTATAATATAATATTTGAACTTCATTTTTTTATATATTTGGAATTTAAAAATGGATGACATTAGATTTCTAAACGAAGAATAACGACTTTAGTTGTTTTGTTGTAGGTAATTCAAAAAATATTATTTATGGAAAAGTAGTTATGTTTTAGTGTAGGTAATTCAAAAAATATTATTTATGGAAAAGTAGTTATGTTTTAGTGTAGGTAATTCAAAAAATATTATTTATGGAAAATGTGCCTTTGGAACGTTTATGTACATTATTAAATTTTATAACACAATGATATTTTCAAAGCATTTAGATTAATTGTAGATATTAAATTGTATATTTATACCATAAAATTAGTACTAAGTATAATAGGTTAGTTAGTTAGTTGAGTTTCTAACCTATTTATAGTAACGTCGAACAAATAAGTAGTGTGCCACAAAAATACTATATGCTCAAACTTTAACTGTTGAATAATACATTAYTAATATAGTTATGAAATATTAATTACTGTATTAAATAATACGATAATGAAATATGGTTGTGAGTGTACGATATTGATATTAAATAGTATCATTAAACTTATAAAATATAAAATTGTCAAGCATAGCGAAAACAATTTTTTTGTTATAGCTTTAGTCTATATTATATTGGCCTGTTGAACATTTTTTGGCCTGCCTGCTTGTTAGCATACGTTTTAAAAAGTTGAAATGACGTCCCTGACAAGCCCCTATCTTTCTAAAATAGATAAATTGTCTTCACTCAGAATCGTATCAATACAYCGATTATTTATGTAAATATTATTTTTCAACGAGTAAAAATATAACAAACATATTACAGTGGCTTGGTTAATGATTAGGTGRTATTCTGGTATTCATATTCTACTATAACAGTTTGTATATCAAATTGACTTCCTTGCCCCTTTTTATGTTCTAATACAGGTGTCGCGATCAACTMTTAACAAAAATAAAATATAATAATTGGCGTTAAGAGTGCCTTCACGACAAGGCTTTAGTTAAATATAAATATTACACTACGACCTTAAATGAATAATGAAGGAAATAAAACAGGTAACCTGAATATTAATAAGTTAAATAATTGTTTTTATTATAATTCTAAGTAATGAACCAAAGTACCTACTACTTTGGTTTAGCATAAAAATGATAATTCAAGTGTTAAAATATAGCCTATTGGCTTTGAATAATACAGCAAACAATAATATTAAGTGTTAGATGTCTATTTGGCACCAAATAAGTGAATAAAATACAATATGCTGGACTAGCAGAGGTAAACAATATATTGAAGTGCTTGATTAGCACATAAAAAAAAAAATAATATGATAATGCTTGATTAGCAAAATAAAATAATATTATAATACTGAATAATAATTTGGCAGCTCGTCAGCTGGTTACCTGGAGAACTGGTGTTCGTTAGCGACTTTGAACCAAACGCTACCGTCTCAGGACGCACATATTTTCACAATAAAAATATAATATAATAATAATTAAATGTGTGACAATCCTGAGAACGTACGACTAACGAGCCACCAGCTGAGACGAATAAATCACTGAACACAATAACAAAAAAAATTCACGTGCTTCTATAAGAATCTCGTGTGTGCCCTAAATTGGGGAATAATATTAATGGATTGAAMAAAATAAATGACTGAACGATACTTCAGAAACAATTCACAGGCGACGAGCTTAAAATGATGATTGAATTGAATGGTATGAATGTAGGTATGCCTTATTAATGAAAACAAATGTATTTAAAAATAAGAAATTGAATAAAAGGCTAGCTGAATGACCGAACAGCTCGATGGTCGTGAAAAGAAAGAAGAAAGAACGAACGTATTTTAATGAATATGAAGCCTATACGAAAACGAAAAAATATTTAAATTGCCAATGAAAAAATACATAATTCAMGAAAATGTGATCTGCAGTACCACCTTAAACATTTAATACATCGAAATATAAAACTTTGGTGGCACTGAAAGCGTTACACAACTTTATGAACGAAGAAAAAAACATTGAAAGTACATAAAACTAATAATACAAAAATATGAAATGTGACCGTTGGAATACATACAACATTACCACTATCAATTAGATAACGGCACACCATTATCACAAGCTGCCGGTTGGACAACCCACGCACTCCTCGACTGGTCGTCCACGCTAAACGCACWGGCACGAAAAAATCCTTTTTTTGAATAATTGTTTGCGGAGCGAACAACAAGATCGTGTTTTTGATTTCTAGTCTGCTATTTCTTTGGTATAAATTATATCGAAACTACATGCTTAAAAAGTTTTTTGTCCAATATTTAATAATTATTTAATGTTCAAAACAAAAATAAGAAAGTTTCTATACATTTTATTGAGAGTTAAATTCCAATGAATCACGTTTATACATTGTTAGCATCTTCGTTGAAGCGTTATTTGACGAGAATAAAGTTTGTTGATTTCTGTTTTTCCGAGTCTTTATATTCATTAGCTAATGCTTTAGGGAATGCTTAACTATGTGTATTGTTAAAAACTTGCATTTTTGTTGTTCAAGTTTTAATTGGTTACAAATAAACAAAAATCTTTATTATTATACTAACTGAATAACAACAAATGCGCGATAAAAGTTAAATTTAGTTGTTTCCAACACTACTCGAAATTAATTCAGCTTTTTAAATAGATTATTCTAAGAATATTATTTACTTGACAGTTGATAGTTTTCATTTAAAGCATATCACATACAAATTTCTGTTTTTTTCCCTTGAACCGATAAAACATTACAACAACTGTTATTTATAAACTAAATTATTTTTTACTCTTTCATGGTGAATATTTTCGGTAGTATAAAAATTTGGAGTTATAGTAGGAAATATRCCTATTTAATGAAAATGCGATTATTCAATTGTAACTTAAACCAAATGAATACTATTTATTAATATTTGTTTTTCAATATATTATTATAATAATACAATATATCAGAACGGCGCAAACATATTATAATAGGTTTATACTGTTTATAATTGCAAAACTCTTAAGTATTAACATCAATAAGTCGCAATCATAACACTGTATACTTAGCAATACGTTTAAATTATTTTAAACGAATTATTTAATAAAAACACACAATATGTAAATATTTTTTTTTTAAGTYCATATATAGAATTTTTCATTAACAGATTATAACCATATATTATAAAAATTTATATGATCAAGGCATTAATTAATATACATTATCCAAAGCATGATTATGATACGGTTAAGTTACAAATATTAMATTTTCTATTTCATATTTTTATGAGAATATAAAGCTAAAAGGAAAAAAACAACTACAAAACATCTAACCATCTAAGCCTGTAGACTCTCAGAGATCTCTTTAAGACATTGTTCAACTAAAAAAAATATATACATTTATTTATTTATATTTATAATTTGTATACATAACAATACAATAACAAAATGCCGTAACAAAATCATTTTAAAATAACTAGGCACATACTACACAAAAAAGCGTTCAACAATTTTATATCGCCGCTGAACAAAGTGTTGGAAAGTAAAATATAGGAAACTCATATTATCTTTACATCGGAATCGAAATATTTCTTATTTGATATGTTTCAACATTTTCAAACAAAAACTGAAGCCAACCTACATTATATTATTATATTAATATTACGAGGAACTTTAACCTAAGAATAACATAATAATATGAATTATATTATCATAATAAGAGTAAACACGTTATTATATCATTGTAGTTATATATYTGGGTTCCTGCTTACTATATTTAATCCACAGTAATAATATTGTTATAATACTGTTATTATCATTTTCATATGGCTTGTAAAGAGCTATCCGTACGATCTAATCTAAATAATCGTCGAGACATAAACCGTTGTTTATGCTGTACGCGCTGGACGGACTTTGGCACCTCGGGCTCATTGCATGCAATTTTAAAACGATGCTAACAACTACACRAAAATGAAACGTATATATTTATATATATATTAAAACACAGCCAAATTATTCGTATTAAACAAAACCAAGAGATCAAACATTAATGGAAACGTCATCTGTTGGGTGATTTGAATCGATAAGGTAAAACTAATATTATCATAGTAACTGTAGGTTTAATTAAAATTGAATATAATTTACCATCGGATTTATATACGATTAAAATGTCCTTAAAATTACTAATTTATTCTAAGTTAGATTAAAATTACATACATAATACCATAGACTTAGTCTTAAAATTGTACTTAGGTACACTAAGGGTTGAAGATAAATTAACTGAGAGACGAAGAAAAGTAAAGTAATACTATTGTCTTTTAAAAATATACAATATCTGTGAACAAAACAAGAATGTATCAAGTTTTTGAAATGCTATACGCCGTCTGTAAAATGAAACGCTTATACATTTTTTTAAGATTGCAATATATATGASACTATTTTCAGATATAAATTTAAATAATAGTTAATTAAAGCTCAGCAGGTAATTGGGATTATATTTTATTATTTTTATTAAGATAAACTGTGCTATTAGAAAAATTAATACGAAAAAGAAGGCTTAATGGAAATATTAATCAGTCTGCAGTCACCTTTTTGGTAAAACTCTTAACGTAAAATTGTGATAAAATAATATTCATTAGAAAATTAACATAAAACAATATTCATCACAAGCAACAATATATCTAAAACATTTGATATATATAAAAATAAAATTTTACACAAAAAAGATCCAAAAATTGGGATACATAATAATTCTTAATCGATTTTTTCTCATTTTTTTTTTTCTTAAAATATAATACTTCATATAGACTATATTTTTTGTTAAACAATATTTTAACGTAGAATGTTGAGTTAAATTATAATTAATTAATATAATATGAATTCATTTAGAAAATACTTCATTTTCAGTATTGATTAAAATTGTGTATTTAGTTTGGATTTTTTCTGAAGTAAAATTAACACACTTACAATACATACAGTATACTTAGTACTAAATTAATACATTTGTACAGTATTCTAAATATTTTAAAAATTATCTGTAATTTCATTAAACACGATTTGCACCATTTTAATAAACAAAATTCATAAAATTGTATAAGTACCTGGTAAACTTTAGTTACTAAAGGAATGTATGAATAATATAATATAAAAACAATGATTTTTTTTTGTGTATATCAAATAACAATAACTCAAATCGTATCGAGAACTAAGATAGATACATTATTATAAACAGATATCAATGCCTATTCCAATCATTTAAACTCACTGAAATGTATAATTAACTATTGAATATCTACTTCCAGATACTTTTAAATAATAACTTAAATGTTAAATAGTCGTACATATTCTTACACAGGAATTAAAATGTCTTTACATCTTAGCATTGGATGTAAAATTACATTTTAATCTTTAAATGTTGTGTGTGAAAAATAGTTTATTTTCAAAATGATTTCATGTTTGCAAAAACATAATACGGTTCAATTGATTATTTATTGATTATTTTTTGATTATATTGTATATTTTTTTGGATGAATTGATTCTTAAAAATTATTCTTCACCAACAAACTGTTAGAATTTCTCAAAATGTTAAATGTTAATTAGTTGATTATTTATATGATTTTTAGCCATCTATAATTCCATACACCTTGTATAAATTAATAACATAACATAGTGTTAATGTTTATGAAATAACAAAAGTTGTGTTTATTATTGTTTTACTGTTATGACGTATTAGAACAATTATTTTTTTGCTTAGTCATTTATCACAGTGTTACTTGAGCCAAATAATGTATTCGATATCCTACATAACAATCAATATAAAATCGACTATATCTCAATACAACAAATTAACTATTAATTATGATATTTCATATTTGCTTGAAATTATTTGAAATTTTATGTTTGATTCACACTAACGATATAAGTATAAATATAGTCGTTACAAAAACGTTATACCACATTTAGTTCTGATTGGAAAAGCAAAAGTGTGYATTTGAATGAAACCTGTAGAATGAAACGCATGCGAAATGTAACCATTTTCAATTCACAATATTTGAGRGTAAAAATTATTTTAAGATGATACACTGTGAGCAGTAAAATATAGTTGATTAATACATCACATTGATTTATTAACCTCTCCGTGTTTATATGGTACAAATTTAATAAAAGTAGTATACCAGAGTGATTATTGTTTAAAACTCAACATGTTCAAAAATTACACAGATTAACGTCATTCTGTGACCACAATATTGGCATACCTATTTTTTGGAATACAATTATGGTTGGTTGGATTTCGTTATGAAATAGATAACCCTGTGAATACGTTAATAAGATCGGAAAACATTAAATTTCTGAAGCCATTAATGGAATTATGATGGTCGATTCAGTGGGGTGTATATGAATTTTTCTTTTGTCAGGTGGTATTTATTATAAGATATAATTAAAAAAGCTTCTATGATAAAACGCTAAACCATAAGTTAATGATTGCCACGATTATAAATACACAGCTGATAACATATCATCAAATCAAATTAACATGTATGTAGGTACCAGTAAGATGTTAATAATACTGTCAAAAATTACAGATT